ATAAAATGAAGACAGCTAAACATCTCTCATGAGACATTACAGGGTTGGCATCCATCACTTAGTAGATAACAGAAAATAAAGTATAGAGGCCATGGCTAGCTTGCCTTCCTTCTATATAGAATCTAAGCACCCCAAATCAGTGTCTTTTCCTAAGACCACCAAGCATCCCTTCCTATTTACCTAAGCTTTTTTTTTTTTTTTTAAGATTTTTAAAATTTATGTGAGAGAGAGAGAGAGTGAGCACAGGGGTGGAGGGCAGAGGCAGAGGGAGAAGCAGAGAAGCAGGCTCCCCACTGAGCAGGGAGTCTGACATGGGGCTTGATCCCAGGACCCTGGCTCGATCCCAGGACCCTGGGATCATGACCTGAGCCAGAGGCAGATGCTTAACCAACTGAGCCACCGAGTCACCCCCCCCCCCATTTACCTAAGCTTTGATTTGATAATATCTTAAGGAGAGCATGCAGAACAAAGGAGAGCCAAGTGAACAATGTGGAAGACCTGGGGAGGGCTTCGGAGACTCAGCCAAGGCCCCACCATGCACAGATGGCCGTATCTACTTATATCTAAGAGTTCATGGTGTCACAGGATACACAATAATCAAGGAGTTTAAAGACCTTGATTCAAGTCCCAGCTCTGCCATGTGCTAATTGTGTTGTCTTTGACAAGTCAGGTTTCTTATCTAAGGAGTCTCTTTATTCACATCTATTTAATGGGAATAATAACATCTGCACCTGTTGCCTTTCTGGGATTGATACAAGGCTTCATGAGATGTGTGTGAAAGCACATTGCAAACTTCACCATCCTGTGATGTAACAGTTTTATTTTGTAAAGGGACTATCACCACATTTCCCTGTGTCTTCTATCACATCTCTCATCCTTTGCCTTGAGGTTTTGGGGGTCCCTTTGTCAAACCTGTCTTCATTCCTTCAGGCTGCAATGTCAGGCTGTAATAACTCTTTAAACATAGGCTTTGACTGATAGTATGGGAGGAACAAATCAAGGTCTTCTTTATTAAAATTATACTAATCTGTGAGAAAAGATTACCTAGCAGAACATTTTATTAAGCATTTTCCAGCACTATTTTATTTTATTTTTTGCAACAATCTTAAAATGTTTAAGAACCATATAAATAAATATTAGGTAAGAGAGAAATCTGAAGGTTACCCTCTATGTGAGCCCTTAAACAATGTCTAAGTAAAAATCAGATTATCTTAGAGAATACTGGAAACTATGATTAAGAAGGTGTAGAGTTTGGCAAAAGAACAGTGTTGGACCCCCGTTTAAGTCCATGGCTTCACTCTTCACTGTCTGTGTGGCCTTGGGCAAATAACTTAATTATCTCTGCACAGTGTTACTGGTTTTGTTTTAAAAAAAAAATGAGGTCAATAATATCTGTCCAGTGGATGATTTAGGGTTATTGATTATGGTATTTGTTTTACTTTGTGTCTTTTGGTTTCATGAGACAGGGACCACACATGTAACCCAAACAAAGAGGTTCTGTTCTAAAGACCGGTGTGGAGTAGCAAAAGAATTCTTGGAAATCAGAGGGCAGGAGGCGCACTGGGCCTGGGCTGCACCAAGTATGGAGACTGGACCTTTGCATTCTTGGCAACCCGGCAACAAAGTTTGTATAGCCCACCCTGGGGCAGGCTGCTGAGTTGCTTCTGCTGCTCTTCGTCTTTTTCTTTTAATTTCCCTACCTGCTGGCTTTTTATTTTATTTGTTAGAGAGAGGGAGAGCGAGCGAGAGCGATTGAGTGCACACAAGCAGGGGGAGCGGCAGGCAGAGGGAGAAGCAGGGTCCCCACTGAGCAAGGAGCCCGATGCAGAACTCGATCCCAGAACCCTGGGATCATGACCTGAGCTGAAGGCAGACGCTCAACCGACTGAGCCACCCAGGCTTCTCCCTACCTACTGGCTTTTTCACTTCTGCTTCCCCAGAGTGCAGGTCAATAGGTCCCTCTAGCTCAGTTTTATCTTTTGATGTCCTTTCTGACGATAAGTTGTTTTCTTGCTGCATGTTTCCTAATTCAGAGTTTTTGAGAGATCGCTCAGTTCTTAGATCAGCTTATTTATTTTATATGAAGCAATGGATTCCTGCTTAGGTTAGGAATGGCCACTCCTCCAACAATGGGCCCACCACTGGTGCAATCAACTATCAAAGAGATAAGTTATAAACATGGCCCCTTGGACATGCTGCTTCAGCCAGGGCTATGGGTGAAGTTCCCATAAAGAGGCATTCTTTGTAAAGGGTTCAAGTTCTAGACTTTGCTTGCATTCAAATCCTGACTTTGACAGTTTCTAAAGATGAGACCTTCAGCAAGTTACTGACTCTTGCTCAGTCTGTTTTCTCATCTGAAAAATGGGTGTGATAATTCGTACCCCATAGGAGTATTGTTGAGTCTTAAATAATGAAGTAAAGCACTTAGCACAGTTCCTGCCAGAAACTGAACCCTCAGTAAATGCTAGCTGCATCCATCTCAGGAGCAGGTGCGTGGGCAGGCCCTTGAACTAGGTCTGGTACAACATGTAAAGGTACTCCATTAACAACTGTTCACCACCTCTCTGTGTGGAGATAACACTGACCCATCCCCCATCCCCTGGAATATAGCCACTTCACATTTCTTTCCTGAAGATGGGTGGCGTTCTCCATGACCCCAGTAGAATTGCCGCTTGCCTCACTGTGGAAATGGATGGGATGCTATGGGCTTTTATAAAGTCAGTCTTACTAAGCCTTTCTCAATGGATTTGAGTAGCTGGCTCTCGGTTTACAATCAGCGTGCTCACTTCATGCTGGATGGGGGTCCAAGGCAGCCTGATTGAACAGCATAACAAGCGTCTAGGACAAAACCTTCTCCAGGGGGTTAGCATGTTTACAGAACTGTCAAGTAATTTCTTCTGGCATTTCTCCATCAGGGTCTTGGGAAATCATAGGTTTTCACGCAAAGGAAAACACAGTGAGCTAAAATATGCATGCAGCAAGAGATGGAGCGCTTGATTTGGGACATAGAAATTCCTTTTATTGTTATGTGGTGATGCTTTATTTATTTGATTGTATTGGAAAATGGACTGTTTCACACAAGCAAAGCTTGTGGGTAGCCAAGTTTTTCCATCGCAGCTCTGAAACTGTTTTTAACTCTTGTTTAATGGGAGTCTTCCTAAAATGTATCACGTACTTCTGCTTTCTTAAGAGAAGATGCACATTTAAATGCTAGCGTTTATTGGATACTTACTATGTAGCTGGCATCCTACTTAGGTGTTTACCTGTCATTCATTTTCCTGACACCCCTGTGAGACAAGTACTACCAACCAGGAAATGGAGGCTCAGAGAGGCTAAGGAACTGGTCCAAGGTGACGCGGGTGAAGTTGGTGGAATCGGGACTGGTGCCCAGGCCTCTCCAAGCTCTTAAGAAACTGGCCGTGCTATTGGAGAACAATGTGGTTGATCAGTGACCCTATGAACTGTTCACCATCAAAGCGTAGGATCTCTGGAAGTCTACGAGCACATTTCCGAAACGTGTCCATTCCTCTGAGCATCCCGTGGCCACTTTTTGAACGGAGTTAGTACTCACACTGGCAGCACCTCTCTTTGAATAGTCATGAATATATTGCTCATTCAGCAGATGTCACTTGAGTACCTACTATGTTGCTGTGGGCCTGATGCATGCCAGGCACTCTGGAAGCAAAGAAATAAGAGGCATGCAGCTGCCTTCGAGGAGGACACGCATTAGAGATAGTTCAGCTGGGGCAACTGTGAAACTTGCCTGATGTGTGACCAGGAAAACCTTGAGAACGTGGCCACCCATGAACCCACCTTTCAAGGAAGTCATCCTCCTCATCATTACCCATTCTCTGTGGGGGAGACTGATGACCAGGAGATCTAAGTAGAATTTGATGTTTCCTAGGCTCCAAAGAGGCCGAGGAAGGAATGGGCAAGTTGTGTTTTAAAAGTAGTTTGAGTCATCTTGATTGGAAAAGAAGCTGTGGCCATACACTAATGGACCTTGGGCCAGACCAAGGAGTTTGGTTCCTATAACCCGAGTCTTTCTTAGAATGGCGGCTTATGAAAACAGGAAGTACATTAGAGCATCCTGCGAAAAAATACGTGTTCAGTGGGATGTGTTTTCTCATTTGATTAGAAAATGAGTGTTCAAAGCGGTTTCCAAGACTAGCTCTTAAAAAGAAAACAACAGTTTGGAGCATTGATGTTGTCATTAAAATCAAGTATATGGTTTTCCAAGGTGATGGCTTAATACATTTTAATAACTTTCCTATTTCAAAATAAATGTTAATAGAAAAAACCTAGTCCCTTTTCTCAACCAGAGAGAACTAAGATTTTTGAAACAAACCCTGCAGTATTAATCCATTGGTTCATCTGTTTGATCTCACTTCTAGTGAAGTCCCCCGGTTGGATGTAATGTAGTCCCTTGATGGCTCATATTCGCTCATATTCACTGTGTATGGCACAGTGCTGGGAGGAATTTGTGTGCTGACTGATCGGTGACAGTTGTTTTGAGGCCTTTTAAATTTGCCTTTTCTCTCTCTCTTTCTCATAGATTGGCTGATGGCCATTGTGTCTGGCTGCTTTCCATGAGTCTTCTTATAACTTCTTCCTAGTATATTCTTTACCCTTAAGGAAGTGCTAGCATGGCTAATGACCAGGCCAGCCAATACGTGTTGTTAGAGTAGGAGTAAGCAGGCTCTGAGAGAGGACAAAGGGGCTGTCTTTTAAATCAGAGGGTAACATCTGCAGTGGCTATTCTAACTGCCAGGGAAGCATTCCTTGTCTGTAGAGATAATTGTTTTTGCTTTATTAGTGACATCCAGTCAAGTGACTGCTCTTAGGCCTATTTTGCAAGAAAGAAAAAAAAAAAAAAAGACAAGAGAGAGGAATGGGGGAAGGGAGAGAGGGCCAAGAAGGGGATGGAAGAAAAGTCAAGCCAAGTGTATTCTCTTGGATTCCATTTTGAATGTCTCTCTTTTCACATTTGCCATTCACAGTGGTTTAAACTTCATTGACTTGATGGTGCGACAGGGGAACATCGACAACCCTCCCAAGACTCCCCTGGTGCCAGGATTTGAGTGTTCTGGGATTGTTGAAGCTCTGGGGGACAGCGTGAAAGGATACGAGGTAATGTGTTGACTAATGATGGAAAAAAGTATTATCTATTTGGAATCTGTTGAGATATAAAAGATAATGAAAAAAATGTTTGAATCTATGGTGTGTGTTATTATTGTCATCTTATTGGTAGGTTTTATTAACACATTTATAAATGATAGGATTTTCCTATCATTTTCATGCCTTTCTCGTGTACCATCTTGGTTGCTCCGGGGAACAGCCTGGTGAAGTGGCCAGGGAAAAATTTGTCTTTCCTTTTGTTCATGTAATACAGCTGTTAACAAGAATATCTGGATTAACTAGGTGTGCATACCCCCTCACCCTCCCCATGGCTCCCATTTTCCCACCACCTCAGGCTCAAAAACCAACTATAAAACATACAGGCTGGGGAGAAATATCCTCTGTATTTCATAATTTGGTTCCTTTAAATATCTACTTAACTGACGCATTTAAGTAATCATTTATAAATGATTCTTTCAGACACTGGGAAAGTGACATTTTTGAATGATGATTTTAAAGGCACAGGGTAGAGGTACCTGCCAATGAAACAGAATTGGCCATGGGTTGATTGCTTTGGGAAGAGGGCAATGGATAAAAAGGGTTATTATATGTTTCTGACTATTTTGTACGTGTTTGAAATTCTCCATAATAAAAAATTTTTAATCGATGAAAAGATATATGACCCTTCCTACCACTGTAATGCAAATCAAATAGAATCCAGTCTCTAAAAACTGTGGGCAAATCAATCACACAAAATTGCAGCAGTTTGGAGTGAGAAAAACCAGTGCCAATCAGGTACAAGAGCTCTTGCTCATAACTTAAGTGTTTCCCCAGGGAGAAGTGAACAGAGCTAACATTTGAGAATCCACCATAACCAGAAACATGGCAAGTCATCCTTCTTCAGCCTTGCCACAACGCTGTTAGGTAAAGATTGTTATTTTCCCTTGGAAGATGAAGTTCAGAAGAGTACAGTTGTTTCCAGGGAGGCCAGAAAGGTAGATGAACATGGATTCAAGTCACCAGATCTTCACCCCTGCTCCCAACCTGTAAATGCTGCAGAGCTAAATGCAGAATGGAAAATCCTATAAATGCAATGCCAAAATGACCTTGGCATTGAATTGGAGCCTGCTGCTCAGGCTCAGTGCATTTGAGCCTCAATACACTCTGAAAATATCAATATGTTCCAAATTCCCTGGGATGAATGTCTGAAAATCTCATCCCACACATCAGTCTTTTTGTCACTGGTTTCCAGATAATACAGCAGTAAAGTGTTAAGAAAGAAGTAAATGCACTTCTTCCTTTCTTTCATATGACTTTGCATTTCTGTTCCCAGGTAAGCAATATAACCAGAGGCAGCACCATCTCTCCCTGAAAGTGCTGCATATGAGAAATAGTATCTGTTCCTCTACCTGGTCCTAAAGGAAAAGATCATACTCCTATCGCTATTAATCCTGAGCCTTGCATAAGTAATCCATTATTTTGGAATATAACAGTAGATAGGGATGTCGTTGGCCCTGGTTTAGAAGGAGGACATACAATGCTCGATTATATATTTTTTCCCTTATATGTGATCTCTCTTCTGCTGCTTAGGCCTGGCTTACTTATTGTCAATCCTACCCTTCACCTCCACTCCCCTCCAGTGACTTTCAGCTGCACAAACAAATGAAAGAAGCCACCTACAGGTTTCCAATCTGGGTGTGACTTGGGGGAAAACCAATACTAATATTCCCCCTAAAATTTTGACTTAAGGTTTTCAACCATGTCGGAGATGGAGTATCACGGGGCAGCACACTGAATAGCTCTCCTGGTTTGATGCATTGCAAGGGAGGCTTGAAAAGTTGTCTCCAGAGGCACAGCAGTATAGGAATAATTGGGGCTCAGTCGCCCAGGACTAATTTTTTTTTATTAACAAAATCAAATAATGAGGTGGACTGGATATTTAAAAAAAAAAAAAAAAAGCTGCCTACCTCTGGACTCGGGCTAGGGCTGATGTGACGGCTAAGCCACTCGTGCCATATTTATAAGGAAGTGATGGCGCAAAGTTGAAGGAGAGCCCTAGAGCGGTTAGCCCTGCTGGGATGGCTGGGACTGTCACTGTCGAGGTGGTTGAACTATTCTTCTCTGCCCTCTGTGTTGACACTTGAAGCCATCAGCTACTCTGCGGTACTATGTATCTTTGGGTTTGCACGTTTTGTGCAAAAGAGGATGCCGGTGTTAGACCTTGGTTATCCTCTGGTCCAAGCGGTTGCATTTAAGATGATAACTCCCAACATTCATCAGTTGGTCTTCAGCCCTTCCAGGGATTAGGACACTCACTGCTGATGGGACAGCCTCTCCTTTCCATCGGTTCCTTCATTAGACAGCTGTTCCTTCTGCTTCGTTAGATACAGTGGGTCTGTGTTTAGCATGTGATCATTGAGCTGTGAGTTCCATGAGACCAGAAACCAGTCTGTTCTTTTTAAGAGTTAACACTGGTTGCTCTTTCTTCACCTTATATGCATCACACCAAGTACGCTGTGTGCATATTGTGTTACTTCATTTCCGTAAGGACCGTTTCCTAATATACTCATTTTACAGCAGAAGAAACGTAAAGAGTTACACTAATATTCCCAGAGGTGGTCGGTCCCGCTGGTGTACACCCTTTGAGAACTCTGTCTTCTTTGTAGCGCTTACCCCAGGTGTGATGAATTAATCATTTATATCTGGAGTAAGCCTTGTGAGACTCAAATCCTGGCTCAGCTACTCCCTAGCTACATGACCTTGGGCATGTGCTTTCATCTCTCTTGGCCTCAATTTCAATGTCTGTAAAATCTATAACCATTCATCTGTAATGTGAGCTCTTATGGACCCATCTCATAGGAGGCTTTTGTTGTTGTTTGTTGAGTAAGCTACAGAGAAAATAACACAGGAGACTCAGTTATAAATATATAAAACTAAAGCACATGCATATGAAAGCCATTCATTTATTAAAAATTCACTCTGACCACAGCAATTTGAATATTGTGTTTGAAAGTCATAGTCCAAGCAACTAACATCAAACAGCAGAGTGGTTCAACTTCACCAGCACTTGGCAGCTCATACAAGCTATTACTATCAGTTCACTTATTTGTATTTCCCTTTACTAATGATGTGCTATGAAAAAACTTGGCACTCTGTCATAACCACTTTAAAGGTAAGAATGCCTTTTCTTCATGATGTCTGGCTATGTAAACAATTGATAAAAAGAACACAGTATTCAGCCATACCTTCATAGGGGTTTTGTAAAGATTAGGTGACGTCCTTAGGACAATGCCTACCGTATAACACATGTCCAAAAAAGGACTAGTTGTTCATCACAGCCCATGGCACCCTCCTGTTTTGCTCTAAGTCTGGTTGTTCTCATTCAGTCTCCTGCACTTAGATTTACGCAGCTCTTCGGATGCACCACATCTCACAACTACTGTGATCAGTAATCCAGTGCTAACCTTTGATGCAAATGCCCCAGTAAACTAGCCTGGCAGGGAATCCCTATGGAGTGGCAGAAAACAAGTGAGAGTGGAGTTTACTCCCAGCTCTGCCCATTTAAATTTCCTTATGGCTTAGTTCTCCTCAACTCCAAAACAGAGAGGTTGAGTCGGTAAAATGAGCTTCTGACACTAACATGCCACGGTGTATGATGTGACGACATTGTACATTTATGCTTGGGAAGAGGGGTAGAGAACCTGGCTTTCATGGCCCCCAGCAAGTTTTCATAGATGGGCTTCAGAGCATCCACGAGTGCCTTGGAATTGGCAGGCAGGTGAGAGTGAGCATATTTGAGGGTTTGGTTGTTGTTTTTTTTTTTTCTGGGAAGGAATCTATAATTTCCCCTAGGTTCTCAAGAGGATTTGAGAAATCTTTCAAAAAACAGTAAGAAGCTTCCATTAACCCTATGCCTCCCCATTCCCAGATCGGGGACCGTGTCATGGCATTTGTCAATTACAATGCCTGGGCAGAGGTGGTCTGCACACCGGTGGAATTTGTCTACAAGATCCCAGATGACATGAGCTTCTCGGAGGCTGCTGCATTCCCCATGAACTTCGTCACAGCCTATATGATGCTCTTCGAAGTTGCCAACCTCCGAGAAGGAATGTCTGTGCTCGTGCACTCTGCTGGCGGCGGCGTGGTAAGTTGGTTGGTTGTGCGTCCTCTTCCTTAAAATCATAATGGTGAAAGTGGACGGATCCCCAGTTGACAGTGAGATTCCCATGTGAGCTACGTCCATTAGTAGCGATGATCTCTGTGGTTCTGGATGAAGCTCACGTGCGTGGCAGAGCTCAGACAGATGACGGTGTTGGGGGTAGGATGAGCCTCTGGAGTCTGAGAGGTCTCCAAGATGGCATGTTAGGACTCAGTGGGTCTCAGAGATGGTTTCAGTCTTGGTATCACATTGGACCGTTGGTCAATCATTGTGCAATGCCTCACTAGTCACGTACTACTGCTATTATCTGAAACACCAAAATGGTGGATGACTTACTTCTTCGATAAATTGCCATGGATTCTACGTTGTTCCCATATTCATGACATCCTTATTCGTTTGTGTTCTGATATATTTTCTTGAGTGGGAGAGGTGAATGGAGATTGTATTAGCACACTGGTAATTAGGCATAAACCTAAGAATATCTGTGAGAATCATTGGACATGCTAATATCACCTGTCAGGTGTGTCTTTGATAAGGGGAGAAATAATGGAAATACAAAATTGCTGCCTTGCAGTTCAGGAATGGCAGAAATTTCTTCTATGGTTTGGATATGTCTCAGTGCCAGTCAGTCAGTCCCTACTGCACACCCGCCACACAGCAAGGAATGTGTTTCCATCACGATCTGTGGGGGTCCAAGTAGAACTTGAGTCTTTCTGAGCATGAGAGGTATGACTCATTCATTCAACAAGTATTTACTGAACACATACTACGTTCTGGATTCTATGGGTTAGAGATTAAAAATAGAAGTTCATAATACAGCCTTTAGTAGGACTTGCTCTCAGTACTGGGGTTCTGTGGCTTGATGAGCTCAGAAATGAACTCGTATGTTTGGGTCTATCTCAAAGATGTTTTCATTGGAAGTTCGGCCAACATTAATTTTTTTCTTATCTTGGCTTTCTATGGCCATCAAAACCCTACCTGGTGTAAAGCGCGTTTCTTTATGAGGAATACCTTCCATCTCATTAGCAAATGTGGTGATGTCTTCTGACCATGAGTAAAGATATAATAAAAGCTAAACATCCTTAGAAAAGAAATGGATTTCAGTGCCAGTGAATCTACTACCAGCAAGCAAGCCATCTAGAATGTTGGCATTTATGGTCTCCGTGTGCTCAGCATACGAAGTGCAGGAGACTTGTTTTCGTATTGTCAATATAAGCTCCAGTCTCTACAGTGGTGCTGAACCCAGTTCTGCTGGGGACCAGTGTTTAAACATTGGCACTGATGAGGTTTCCTTTCATGTGTGTGTGGTTTTTTTTTTAATTTTGAGTTTGTTCCTGGAACAAAGAGGAATGTATCAGGGGCATGTGTCTCACAAAAGGGAAGAAAATCTTGGGAGATAAAAAAAAGTTTTTAGCATGCCTTATTCTGGGCTTCTAGACACTAAAACAATAAGATCCAAAATGTGAAACAGATGAAGGCAAACGGGGAAGGGACAGTGAGGTTGGAAGAGAAGTGGGTGCCCATAAATGCAGACTCATGTCCTAAAGCTTTGCTGCAGATTCTTCCTAATGGTGAGCGCAAAGAGGGAAAAACAACCAGCCACAGGAGGTGGTGTTCGTTTGAGGAAAACAAAACAGTTAGCGGGGGAAACCATAGCTAGTCCTGGGTTCGGAGACTGGAAGTATTTCTCTGTTGTTTCTCATAGGAAATGTAGGCCAACATGCAATAAACCATCCTCCACAAAACTGTTATAATAAATGCAACTATTTCTGTGATGCTTTTTCTTATGGTGTGCCCCGAATGTTATCTAACAGCACCAAAGTAAAGCAACACTTAGTGAAAGCAGATATCCTGGGGCCAAAAGGATGTGGTGTGGTTTAACCTACGGAGAGTTTAAAGGTGTCATTGGACGGCCCAACTCTCAGGTGGGTCTCCTCGAATGGTGTTTCTCCCAACCAAGATTTGATTGGTGGTGTGCAACACTGAGTTCAAGGTGGCCATTAGAGGAAAGATTTTTAGCCAAGTGCACATCCATGTGGGTGAATACTCAACCAAGCTGGGTGGAGCTAATGCTATTTTACAAAAATCAAGGAGTCCTAGGGAGAGCCCAGACCATTCCATTGCCCCACAGTGGAAAGAGCAGTGAGACACCCCCAGGCAGAGCTAGATTCCTCCCAAGGAAACAAGGAGACGCTGCTCTCATGGTGCGGGGGACTCCCTAGGGAGTGCTTTTTAGGTGCTATCTGGGGTACGCTGAGGAGGAAGGAAGGTGCTTCTCACCCGCCACTGTTGAACAAATCTGCTAAGTGTGGCCTCTGGCTCGTGATTGCTGTGGTAGCAGGATTATGACCTCCCGCTGACATCCATGTCCTCATCCCTGGCACCTGTGAGTAGTTTACCTTGCCTGGCAAAAGAATTTTGTGATGTGATTAAGGTAAAGACCTTCAGATGGATAGATCAGACTGGATGATCCAGGGGTGCCCAATGTCATCACAAGGGTCTTTACAGATGGAAAAGGGGGTAGAAGAGTCAGAAAGAGATTTAAAGATGTTGTACTGCTGGCTTTGCTGATGGTGGAAGAGACCACAAGCCAAGGCATGTGGGCAGTGTCTAGATGCTGGAAAAGACAGGGAAATGGGCTCTCCCCCTGGAGCTTCCAGAACGGACAAAGCCCCACTAACACTTTGATTTTAGCCTAGTGAAATCCATTTTGGACTTGTGATCTCCAGAACAAAATATATACAACTGGGTTGGGTTTGTTTTGTTTTGTTCTGTTTTGGGAGCCACTATTTGTGGTGATTTGTGGTTAGCTCTCATTGCAGCAACAATAGGAAATGAATACAGCCAGATTCTCTCGGCTGCCTCCCTTCTCACTGCGGAGGGCCCACAGGGGCCTGAAAAAAATATAAGTAGCAAGCAGCAGAACTAGGGTTCACACCCAAATCTGGCTAATTCCAAAACCTATTCTCTCCATTCAACAACCCGGAATGTTGGGAGAACCCAAATCATTCATTCCTTCATTTATTCATTTGTTTGACAAATATTTGTTCAACCTCTACCCAGTGTTAACTGTAGAGCCAAGAGCTGTGGTCCAGGTACATGTTTTCTCACTTGATGTTGATGAGATGACAAAGATTAAACCTAATTAGGATGGGGGCATCTGGGGGGCTCAGTTGGTTAAGCCTCCAACTCTTGATTTTGGCTTGGGTCATGATCTCAGGGTCATGAGATCGAGTCCCATGTTGGGGTCTGCACTGCGTGTAGATCCTGCTTAAGATTCTCTCTCTCTCCCTCTCCCTCTGCCCATCCCCCCCACCCACTCCCCCTCTCTAAAAAAACAAAAAAACCTAATTAGGATAAAGTTTCCTAACTCGAGTTAATATGAAGTTTGCAGTTCTAATGGCACCAAGACTTCTGTCTGATTTTTATCAAAGGCTGGGTAATTTGCAGACAGAATGTGAGGAATGCCAGCCTAAGCTATAATTCTGAAGGACACTAATACAGCACAGCAATCCCTTCTTATCCAAGGGGGATACATTCCAAGACCCTCCCCCAGCAAAACTGCAGATGTACCAAACCCTATGTAGACCGTGTTTTTTCCTATCTGTACACACCTATGATAAAGTTTAATTTATAAATTAGGCATAGTAAGAGATGAACAACAATGGTGATAAATAGAATAACTGCAACAGTATATTGTAATACAAGTTATATGAATGTGGTCTCTCTCTCAAAATACCTTATTGTATTGTACCCACCCTTCTTGTGAGGATGTGAGATGATAAAATGCCTATATGATGGCCTGAAATGAGGTGAATGACATAGGCATTGGGATGTAGCGTTAGGCTATTACTGACCTTCTGACCTATGGTCAGAAGGAAGATCATCTGCTTCTGGACCTGGACCCAGGTTGACCACGAGTAGCTGAAATCGTGGAAAAAAAAAAACCAACCTCGGATTAAGGGGTGGGGCACTGCATAGGAAAATAATTCGATCCAGAGCAGGTTACTTTGTCAATGGAATCGCCCAAGTGTCTACACTGCTCTGTCTCATCTTTGAAGACACTTCCCCCCTGACAATAGCAGACCCAGATGACCTGAGAGGGTGATGCCCCTGATCATATCTTTAGAATCCGGTCGAAGATGGGCTTCCAATTTCTCAAAGGAAAAATTACAAGATAAGCAACCGAGTGGGGCTCATGTCAGGAACTCACGACGAGGATTTTGCTGCCTGTCCCATTTAACAAGCTGCTACAACTTGGAGCATCTCGGTTGGGATGTGCTCAGTTCCTGCACAGCAACATTACTGTGTCTGACATTTGATACTTTCCAGTTTTTGGTGTCCTTTTACCTTTTCATCATGTCATCTGAACAGAGAGGAGCAGCCTGCGATGGGCCACAGATCTTGGAAAGGAAAGCAGAGCTCAACTTTCAGACAGACCTAAAGGGCTACTACTCAGTTATTAAGTTCTATTCATTATGGATGGGGCATTTCCCCGTGCCATTCAAATCACTGTAAGGGAGCAGCCACAGATGGGAGAGCCAGGATCTTTGGAGGGGGCATACCGAGGCTCCCCCACCTCATGTGGTCCTCTCTGAATGGCCGACTGACCATACATCATGTTGACATTAAACTGACAGAGCCTGGGAAGAGCAGGGGTCCTCAGTGTGTTGGAGGATTTGGACGTATCGGATAGTTATTCTGTTTTAGCAGAAAGGACACAACCTGGGCGCCTGGGGGGCTCAGTTGGTTAAGCGACTGCCTTCGGCTCAGGTCATGATCCTGGAGTCCCGGGAT